CTTTTTTGGTAAGAATCTTGTATTTTATCGTGTTTAAATTTTTTCAATCTTAAAAAGAAGTTGTCGTTACAAATTGGGACTCCATGCAATGATGCAATGTTTTACTCTGATAGTTGGTTTTTGCATATTTCCCAATATTTGGTCCCGATCTAAGAAATCGGTCGAGCCTTTTGTGAAGGATGGAAAGAAGCTTGAATAAATGAACTTTTAAAATTAGAAATTTGAAAGCAAATGTCGCATATGAGCCTAAAAGCTTTAAGTCAATTTAAGTGGGTACAGTTTCCAATTTAATTGGTTTATAGATTCTGATCAGAGGGTTTGTGTCCGATCATCTATTGTACACTTTCTATTTATCTGTTTGTTAAGTTTTGGATAAATTGGTTACGAGGACATGAGAAACAATTTTTGTTTCATTTTTTATGGAAAGCCGTAAGAACTGGTAGGTAAAAAAAGGGAAAAAATGAAAGCGAAACTTTCGCAGCTTTTCAAGGTCATTCCACACTTGATGTTTTGAACTTTGCCAACATACAGATAAATTAGCGTGAAACTCCCGTGCGAAAATTTGGAATTGTGGTTCTGAAGGCATAGAAGCAAGTGAGATACATAATCCTTTTCAACTAATGTGCTTTCCTAAGCTTTCCGGCCATAAATCTTTGTTTGTCATATTCTTCAACCAATCTTTGTTTAGTTAAGCAATATATCATTTGATATGTATTTATATGAAACATGTACGATAACAATACTTTAGAATATCTTGTGAAATCATTTCTAGACGTTCCTTCGCAAGCATATCTAACTTTTTGAAAACTTTACCATCTTTACTTTTTTTCAAAAAAAAGTAAAACTTTACTTTTTCCATTACTCTCATTGGTTTAATTTGTAGCAGAGTAATTTGTGGTAGGAGTTTTTGCGTTAAATATCTGACTCTGATTTCCTTTAGTTTCATAGATAAGTAGTAACGGAACGAAGGATCGATGCTGCCTTCAAACAATGTTTGGATGATATCGCTGTTGAATTTTTTCAGTATGACTAGTTTGTGAAGACATAGTGTTTGGAATAGTTCGAGTTGTTTTTTCTTGTATCCTGAATTGAATTGCTTTATTACAGTGATATGGTCATATAGTCTGTTAGAAAGTGGCCAAATATCTGAAACGAAATTGCTTCAGCATTACAATGGTACTTTTCATTTGTTTTTTTTTTAAATTAATGTTTGGAGGATAACAATGTAATCTTTGTTTATTGACTGTACTATGTGTGATATTTACAGGAAGAGATTTTCGATGATTTAATTTGTCTGGATGAAGAGGGAGAATCATTGGAATCTAGCACGGTGTGGTCTTTTTTTATTTCAATTACAGTATGCTACCACCCTGTCTTTGGCAACATTGTATTGTTGATATCATACTTAAGATTTTCATCATTAGTTTTATTTTGTCTATTTTTCTATTAGTTGTCCAGAAGTTAATCCTTCTTATTATGTACCAACCAAGTAGTTATTTTATTTTAGAACGAAAATCTGCTAGAGATCAAGCAACAAACTCTTTACTCCAGAACGCAGCCAGAATCATGTGTAAATCATCGCAGAAAGCATGATAATATTGCACGTTATTTGGATGACAAACAAATGTCATCATCTAAACACTGTTGTTACGAAAAAACATCTAGTATGATGCCGAGCGATTTTCATGGAAGTGAGAGATATAGTAGAATGAAAACAATCGAGAATATGGATGAACTTGTTGCCGACACAAGTTTTTTAGAAGTTGATAGCTGTGAGAATATTTCCAGTATTTCTCATGTTTGTTATGTCTAAAAAAAATAAAAAATCTCGAATATACTTATTTTGTTATCTCAATCAACTTTTGCTTAATTTTTTGGTTTTCTTCACTATTGAAATAGATTTTGAATTTCAGGCGAAGGAGATGACACTGATTGTTTGGAGTCAGGAAAAAATATATGCTTAGATCAGTCATCAAGAAAAGCAGAGAATAGGTAACAAAAATTAAATTAATTGGACTTAAATTAATTCGAATGGATACTGATACTGTATCGCAAGATACAGACGAATGTTTTCGTTACGCAGTTTACTTTTTTTTGTCTGAAATTTCCGCAGACTAGTTAATTTTCAGTGTTACGTACTGTTGTTTATTATGCTCGACAAAATATTTACGGGAAAGAAAATAAAAAGTTTTATAGGATCAGTGTCAATCATGTGAGCTTGACATCATCAACGGTTTTACCAATGTATGATGATGACGAGGATTGGCCTTATCTTTCCGGTGATGTTGATGAGGAAGCTGTACGATTGGCAGCAAGTGTGAATCTGGACTTAGTTGAGGAAGCAAAAGATGGTTCACAGCAAGATCCACAAAAGAAAAGGATTACAATTGAAAAGATGACTGACAAATGGAATTCAGAACAGTACTATAACGACGATGAATCACCCTGCCACAGCAAAAATCCAGATAAGCTTGATGGTATATGGTCGCTGCATCTTTGGAAATCCGTGTATTCCACAAGTTTTGTCAGCTGCCTTATTTCCGCCAGAATATTGGAAAAATGTTGCAGGATTATGTGCTCCTTAGTTTATTTCAGCAACACGATTCTGCTCAGTTTTTCTTTACAATCGTCCCTAATTAAGGCCGAATGGAAATATTTGGGATTGTTTTTAAAAGGTCCAGCAGACAAAGCTAAAGACTGAGGAAAAATTGATTCGTGTAGTTTGAACACATGGAAAGTGCTGGTCTAGTTATTTTAAGCAAGATTGGGTGAAAAACTAAGGAATTATGATATCAGTGCAAAAAATGGAAAATTCTCTCCTCAAAATAACAATGGATTACGAAACCAAAGAAGGCTTTACATGCTCTGAAAAAAGAATATAAAGAGTGCAAAGAGTGAACTTCTTAGTGGTTCAGAGAAATATTTTCTTGGTGGATAGGAAAATTCATTAATGATTGTTTTCATTATGCAGAAGATGCGTTGTTAATGCCAAAAATCAACGAAAAATGGAATGGAACATTAGTGAGAAGCTTGTATTTTTTGAAAAATAACTTGATCCGGAAGAATGGAGAATTGGAATAATAGCTTTCGAGGTGCAGAAAAATGTTAGTGATTGATTATCTCGATTTTGGTTCTGGGATAAGTCGGAGATGTGGAGAAGTATTGGATGACGAATGTACGAAATAAGAAGGTTGAGAATTGCAGTGTTTGCTATCCGGAAAAATTCAGTAATCCATTATCGAATAGATACAGTCATTGCCTTATTCTTTCGATCTTTGTGGAAAGGAAATACTACACATGCCATGAAATGAGATTGTTGCGCTTGAAATTGAAACTTTCGTGGTAAATTGGAAAGAGAAATGATATTGGAGGCTGATGATTTCGAAGCGTGAAGGATGAGAATGATGTAAGTTTACGGTCTCTTGCCAAGCCGGAAATATATAATCGAGCAGAAAACGATATCGAGAGGCCAACAAATTTTCCCGTCACTCAATGTACATTCGTCAGATTTTGGCGGATAATTTATTTCCATATGAGGAGCAGAAAAAAACCAAAAAAATTTTTTTCAACAACAATTTCTTTCAAATGACGGAAAGGAAAAATGTGTGCGATTCTGAAATTCAGGTCGTCCTTTGATCTGGCAGCATTCATGGGGCTGAGTAATACATTTTTGAGATGAGCTAGGGATGTTGCATGAGCCGATTTATTGTTTTCCACTACATTCAATAAGTATATCTATTCGTAGCATGCTCATCATTATTGTGTTGAGTATTTTTCATTGTCGTAATAGGTTTGTTTTCTTGTGATGCGCTAAGTCTTTAATCTTAAAGTGCCATTTTTAGAACTTGTGATTTTATTTTGTAAGTTTCATGAAGTCAGGATTTTTCTGTATTTTACAACCTTTAAATTCCATAATAGTCTGTAGTTTTAACATGGCTGAAATTTCAGACTCGAAACCGTCATTGAGAAAATTCTCTTCACTCACTTCATCAATTAGAGAACGTCAATCAGTAATGCATGCATATAAAGAATCAAGTCACAGTATGGCGGATGAATTTTTGCGATATCGACATCAGGAGTCGATGAAATACCATGAATTATCGGAGCGACATAGTCGCGTGGGTCGTACTCCACTTTTTGTGTCTTCACAGAATCGTCGAAATTCGCTGCAGGCTAAAGCTGGACATCCTTCACTTTACTCGAAGAAGACATATATACCTTATCTTAATCCCTGGAGAAAGGAAGAAATTGCAACTAATCTACTCAAAAAATCAAGCAAAATCAGTGGTGTTATTAAACGATCTTATCAAATCAAGACCCAGTCATTGGACAACAGCGAAAGAAAAAGCAAAGAAGTAAGTTCCGAAAATTTTATTCCTAGAACGGAGTGTAATAAGGCCAACTCGGATACTGTCCGAAATAAATGTGCGATACTTCCTCCCATTAACAGTGCTCCACTCCCAAAGGCTGATGGAAGGAAGGTTCTTGTTGCAGAGAAATACAGTAAAGTGGAAGTTCTGAATGAAAGTGTTCAGTTTTCGGAAAAAAAAACTGAACATGAAATTTCGAAGAAAAAGTTACGATGGGTTTTAACTACGGAGCAGTTTCAATCCAGTGGAGTAAAAGCAAATTCTGTGGAACATAAGGATCGCAGTCATCCAGAGACAGTTGCAGGTATTGATCTTATTCTGCATTTATGCAGGGAAGGGTAGAAAAGTTTGAAAACTTTAAAATTGTGTCTGATAATTTTACATTATGAAGCTATGGAGGGTGTGCTGGATGTTAGGGTGAAAGTCTTCGATAATAATGTATAACGGGGATGAAAAATTGGTGGACAGAGAAGAAAAAGAGACTAAATTAAGGAAGAAATTTAATGTAGTGATTTTTAGAGCATCGAGTTACCATTATGACAAAGCATCATCATAACACTCCGAAAGGAAATCCGATCAAGTTGCGCCTTCCAAATTTTCTCGTTACATAATCTGTAAGTCTAAGGAGAAAAAAATTATTTCAAAATGACCATATGTGTATATTTTTGTCGTTTCTTATATGTTGTTGAAGTTAGTTACGAAGCCCAGTTTTTTTTTTCAGACGGTTTGGTTAGTATCATTTTTTCCTGGGGATATGTAAAGGTGACGCTCAATTTCACGGGTAGTATTCGAAAATACGGGATAAAACGAAAAGTACTTACCAAAAACGGTGATTTCCATTATTTGTTTAAAAACTTTTTTTCTTATTATCGTCAACGTTCTGTGCATTGTTTTGAGATTGAAATTGTTATGCAATGTGATTAATATAAATTATTGTAACATGAGGTATATATTTTGCGAAAAATAGTTGGATGTGATGCATATTTATTTCTGTTAATTTTTCTCAAATGTTTCAGCGGCATGTTTTCTATTGCTCTTTGTTCTACATGCTCTGTCATAAAAGCCGTGATCATTTTATTCACTTAAGTTGATGGCTAATGTACCATTTTTCGTCATGTTATCTTTGCATTTATTGTATTGTATAACCGAATAGCCAGTACTCCTGATCGTGACTTTTGATCAGCCGCTATTTGGATAGCAGATTTATTTGCGTTTGAAATATAGTATAGTTTAACAATTACTTTTATTGCTTGTACTTGTGGATCTTTTTTTTAATTCTTTTCGTTTCCTCTTTCAGCAAATTTCTAACAAGTTGTATTTAAATCCATGGTTTTTCGCATTAATAACTTTGATCTATAAGCTTCTTGAAACGGTCATTTTATTGTTGGCTGTAGTAATAACCGCATAAAAGTAACAAATTTTAATCAGTAATGTTTTGTGGTTGAATCATTTTCCTTGCATTTATAATTTTTTTCATGTTCTCAAGATGCATAAAGGCTACATGTGTGAGTTTGGAATGTCAAAAAAAGAAGATCGGTTTAAAGTATTCTCGAAATCTTTGTTTGTTGGATGTTGTTCTTATCGCACAAAAAATAAGAGTGGAATGAATTGGGGAATTTGCTCACTACTGTTTTAACAGCTAAGAACGCTCCTTTCAATACCTTATTCTGTTGGTGAGATTAGTTCTCAGGATGGCATCTCTTTTAATGGTTCGTCCGACGAATAATATGACCATTTATGTTTCCCAATGATCAGTCAACGATCTATTATTTGTCGCGTGAATTCGAATAAGAAGGCTTGAGGTTTTAGATAACTGAGTTATAGGAAGTATGGCAAAAATGATTAATGAACGAGCTTCGACCAGTGCGGACATACCGCCAACTCCTGATTCGACCACTGTATCAACACATGTGCAACAACTAGCGGATAATATGTATAGTAAAGTTGCAGCATATCTTCAAGGACAGATTGAAGGTATCAGTCACGGAAAATTGATAATCTTACATTCCAAGAAATTTCCAGTTTCTGAGAGAATTGAACACTTGCTGTTGTATGTTTTAGGTACTATTGCGGAGTATAAATTGTTGAAGAATATGAATAATGCTACAACTCAACGTTACGATGACATGAAGCACGTAGCAAGTGGTGTTGCAGAGAAACTCTCACAATTGAATTCCAGATGTAATCCTTTTGTTGTGTCTCAGTAGTTTGAAGTTATCACAGAAATTTGGTGTAGTATCCGTAGTATTACAGCAGACAACAGAATTTTCTGCAGATGAGACGTTACGTCCATATCTGCAACAAATCGATGAAGTCGATGAAAATACAAGAAGGCTGGAGGAGGCTGCCAATACTTTGGACCGTTATGTAACCACCCTGGGTAAGTGATGTGGCATTATTTTTCGTGTGGACTTTTGATACTCGGTCTTTCCATTAACTGCTCATTACACTTCACTTTAGTTAACCTTAAATATATGTGGAAGTTTTATGTTTTAGAAACCAAATTCCGTGAAATTCAGCGCGATGGTGGTTCTCCGAGCTAATTCTGATAGTATATCGCTGTTATCTACAATCAGTAGTGTTAGCGGCAACCTGATTATTACTCTGAAACGATTTATGTCCCATTTCATTCTTTCTCAATTCAGTGTTAGCATACGCTAATGACAGTATTTATTTCGTAATTACGCTTATAAAAAATCAACGGTGGCCTTGTGAACGCACGTTATTGGTCCATAAATTTTGTCCAACTCTCGCTTATTATGTAGTTTTGTCAAAAAGTTGTTTTTAATGGCATGTTCTATAGATATCACAGTTTTTTGAGATGTTCAAATATAAAAGCAAAAGTATTCCATTTTTCTTAAATGCACTATAGATGTTTAACCGCCGATAAAGCTCTTTCTTATTTCATGTGAGAAATTTCAGTAAACAGAGCTTATTTTAAAAAAATTGCAAGACTTCTAGAAGCGATTCGAAAAATGTGCAAACGACAGAATTCAAATCACAGATGATTACTTATTACAAAATGGTGCGACAAGTCATCTGTTCGCCTGAATACTGATGTTCGAGATGTTTTCAGACTATTGTAGATTTCATCAGGATTAATTTGTTTTTTTTTCAGGCTCTTCAGAGTTCCGTTTTGTACTTCTAAATGAACTTCGTGGGATCTAGAGTCATGAAACGACTTTTGTTCGGAATTATTAAATTGTTAAAATGCTTTTTTTGCGTAAATTCTTAAGAAACAATTTTGTTGATGAAGTTGGTGTGAGTTTTGCGGTGCGATGCCATCCATAAGAAGAGATCACATCTCATTTGTCAGAGTATATTAACTCGCTGATAGTGGTGGAACATAGGAAAGAAACAATGCCTGATATTTGAACGTTTTTGAAACAATGGCTCGTTTTCAGATTGATTAATTATTCATTCATCCAGAGGTACACGGATGTTTATGTTTGCGTATTATGAATTCTGTCAATTTGGTCTATGACTTTTCAGTTAATGTGAAGGACTACAGCAGATCGATTACCAACAAATAATTGATGCAAATCAATTGTGTTTCTAAGCAAGCCTCTTACTGAACTTTCCGTGAATTAGTCTAAAGACGAAAACACAAACAGTATGGACTACACTATTTGTAGACCATGTTGGTCTCGGTCATCGTAGTTGGTTTTTGTGAATTATTACATGCATAGCATGATTGGACATTTGGCAGGAATTTCGTGTAAGGCAAATTTTCCTTGCCCTGCGGTATCAGTTGATTACACATTTATAAAATTTTGTCAGATCAGATATTTAAAATTTATGGTACTGCAAGATGTGAAGCTGGTATTTAAGGTTATTTCAATTTCAGCAATTTCCATTATTTCTTATTCCTACTCAAAAATCTCGAATTTATCCTTCTTTTGTCAACAGCAACTCATAATGATTTTACAGTGCTTATATTTCTTATCACTGTTAAGATTTGCTTCATAATGTGATGACGAGAAGAAGATATTAGCGCGTCGCAAGCTTTTTTTTATTTTTTAATTTTTAATGTTTGATCCAAACACCCGTGTTTATCGTTTACACGGAATTTCGTATTACTATGAAGAGCCACTCGGAAAGAATTCTTAAACTATGATGCTTAATAGCTGTTTTCGGAGGAAATTCATTTCTAACTGGCCTTCAAACTACAAAACTGGCTCAACGCATAAATTTGAGAATCTTTCGAGAATCAGAGAATCATGAATTTGAGAATCAGAAGAATTTATGGTCAAGTATAAAACTTTACTGAATTAAATGCTTAAAAATATACGAAATTTTTTTTCAACTTTCGGCAAATACGTGATGTGTAATTAGAAATACAGAATGCTCAAGAAGTGCATTTGACACTTACATCTAAAACTTGTTCACTTTCAATAAAGGCTACTCAAATTACAAATAGTCAGAAGTTCTAAGATTGTTAGCATTACGCTTTAGTATCTATTGAAGCTAGTGCATTTCTTGTACTCCTTTAGATGGCGCAGTTGTAGTAAACATCCTGTGGGACTATATGATAATTGGAACAGGTTTGAATCACTTTCAACATGTATCGCGATCCAGCATAATTTAAATTAGCAAATGACTGACTCGATACTACGATTAAATGATTATCAGTGACTAATGTGGAGTGACAACGCAATCAGACTTTCAGTTAATAAAAAAACAAACATTTGTAATTTTTTAATTGAAAAGTAGAAAAGTGAGAAAAATCCAATCTGAAAACAACTCAAATTATAAAGTTAGCCAAGGTATGAGTAATAATTAGTCATGTATTTATTTTACACACGTTCCAATACGCTCTAAAATGTATATGCAGAACAAATACACACACGTACAAGTGCACAATTCATAGTCAAGTTTTTACATAATTATAGTTGAATGGATGGAGGTACATCATCGAATGTTGTGTACGTGTATGTTTTGCTTGAAGTGCTTAGGATTGGGAGAAGAGCGAATGATCGGTGATATTCTGTTCGAGGTGGTTGCTGTGAAATGAAGGATAGAATGGAGAGGAAATTGAGAAAGTGAGTGGAGAAAAAAAATAGGAGGAAATCCCGAAGATGAGGAACAACATATCCTAACCAAATTCAACCTTATAATTCCCGTTTCACAGACTGTTATGTGTGTATGTGTGTGTGTGTATGTGTGTGTGTGTA